ATAGTAACATTGTAAACAAAATGAAAATGAAAGTCAGAAGATATCAAAAAAGTTATTAATAGGAAAATCAATATAAAATTATATCAACTTGAAAGGAAAATGATATCTAAACGTAATGATATCAAAATTATAGTTAAAGGGTATCAAAACAAAAGTCAAATGATGACAAAATACATATTGAAAATTCAAATGTTAATGTCCTCAGACATGCATGTACGACTCTCATGTAAACCACACATACCTTGTATGACATTTTGACGCGATATTTTATAGCTCAATTTTTACATTAATCACAATATTACAATGTCATTAAAACCTACCTAAAGCAATGTTGTTTGCATTAGTTGCTTTACAGACGAAAAACCAGGGTGACTGATATATAAAAAAATATATTAAGTATTGATTTCAAACAAACCTCGAACATGTACGTATTCTGTTGCATGTGCTATACAAATTTCTGTCTGATTATTTAGATAATCATTATCATTTATCAAAGATAAAAGGGAAAAAAGCTTAAAAATCTTCAACTTGTAAATTTTAACCGTTCCGCTTTTTACACAAAACCACCGAAAATCCTAATAATTGTCAAATGTCAATACAAATAAAACTATTGCATGGTCTATATATTTCTACAAATTTTGATACGAAATTTTGCTCATTTTTGTGTACAGAATTTCCAATTAACTAAAATATAAAAACAAATATAGAATAATTGTTTGGCTAAATTAACTATTTACAATGCTAATTAAGATAAAGGTATGTGAATCCGATTAAATGCAAGAAAACAGTATAGAAATAATACTTTCTAATATAATTAAACATTTCATACTTTTAGATAAAACAAAAAAGAATATCACAAAAATTGGGATAACAAAAATCAGAAATATAATTTTAAAAAATGTTGTACACACTTAAAAAAAAATACTTTCATATGATCAATATATATATCAAAAAGTAAAGTTTTAAGGGGTTATTTATGAATCAATTATTGAAAAGTTAATTAATTTTTAAATAATTAAACATTTTTAAAAAAACAAACCAAAAAAATTTTAAAGTTGGGAATTTAAAAAATTTTTTTCATTTTTTTAAAAAAGTTTAAAATTTTAAAAACCCCTCAATAACATATTTAATGAAAACCCTTTTAGTAATTAAAATTTCCAGTCCCTTTTAAATTCTGTTTAAAATAAATAATTTTCAAAAACGTTTTGGTAGCCAAAACTTTATTTTGTAAAATTTTTAAAAAGAAACTTTTTTCAAAAAAAAAATTAAAAAATTTTTTTAATTTGTTTTATCTTAATTTAAAATTTGGTAAAATAGATGTGAAGATATACAAGAAAAAGGGAATGGAAATAAATGCACTGTATAAAGAATGCAATGTCACACTCTAAGTATGAAAGCTACACACTTTAGTTAAATTTCAAGTTGCAATAATAATGACCACAGTTGCAATCGATCTATCGGGAAAGTCTTCAAAGTGTCAGAATCTATAAAACAAATTTATGTCTCTATATAGCGTGATGCATTCATTTCAAGCAGTTATTAGCACTTTTTTGAATGGTACTCAGTGAGACATACTTTAATGTATTTGGTTCGTTAATTTTTAATAAATGCGCGCGTTTCTAACAATTTTAACAAATGGTACTTATAATGAGTAAATTCTTCTTAGGTTTTCCAAAGCTTCCTTTTGTGTAATTTCATCCCAGGAGTCCGGTATGTCAGATATATCATATTTATAGTGAATTGCTAACAGGTATTTATATTTGGCCACAAACCATAGCCAAAATTTTGAGCATTCTTGTATATTAGCATTTGGCTCAATATCCCAGTCTGGAATATGCTCCCTATAATTTCTATACAAGTGCCATTGTTTGCCACAACGTTTCTTTTCTTCTTTATTGCATCTGAAGCCAAACAAATCACAATGGTGCTCTAGATCTGATTGGACATTGAAATTGCAAGATGACAGTGCAGCTTTATTTATATAGTCCTCTCTTGCACCTAAACAGGACGATACTCTGTGTTGCAAACTAAAATGATTTGTTCCTTCATGTATGAAAGCTTTCGCACATGGCTCCCCGCAAAATGGACATTGCTCTGGGCAACCCCACACTTGTTGAAATAAGGCTTTTACCATGCTCTCCGGACCATTGAACTTAATAATTCTCTCGACTTCTTCTATCATCAACAGTTTTTCTACAATTTCTTCAGAGGAAGCATTGATGTTACCAGAAAGCAATCCGCTAAAGTTGTTCATATCTTCTATCTGACCAAACCATTTTGTTACATTTGAGAACTCTGATGTTCCAATTGGACACATAGAACAATTTTGCACGAATGATTTTGTCCATTCTTCTGATGATGGGCTCTCATGACGAAATTTCTCATAACATTTATCAATACTTGCGTGGATGTCATTATAGAATTCATTGACGACTTGGTTAACTATTTTAGATAAATTCGTCATGTTGGAATTAAATAGAAAGGTTTTCGCTTTTTTCTTCACCCAATCTTTCACAAGCTTTCTAGGACTTTTTATGTATTCTGTAAAAGAGTCAAAATCATCAGCAACTGTCAACTCTTCAAGAACTTCAATAATCAAATGATATTTCAATTGTGGCAAAGTTTGTTTTAACGTAACTTTAACAGCATATTGAATCCTGTCTTGTATTTTGCTCAACAAAATATTTTCTACAATAACCGTGATTTGTTTAGCAGCAGTTTCCTCAGCTTTACGGTCTCTTACAAATGCTATGAACTGTTCTTTTACTTGAACTTTGTAGTTAGAAATTCTTGCAAGTATACCCCTACTTTTGTGACATTCAGTGTTATGCGCATCAAAACGTGTGACACAAAAATCAGTCACGTGAATAAACAATTTGACAAGTCCTGTTATTTTCAACGAAATGTCATTCTCTTTGTTCTGTAACAGCTGAATTTTTTTGTATATCTTGTACAATATATGTTTCACTTCTCGATATGTTAGTTCATTCATGTCTCTTAAAAATGTATCCAATAATATTTCTATCTGACGTAATGTTATATTTACTTCATCTTGCACACGTGACATTTTCATATCGTTGTCTTGTCTGAAAGAATCTGATGAAAAGCTGATATCTTCCAACATTATGCGGCTAAGGTCGAACGATCCCGTCAAGGTATTGATGATATAAAAGTTGTTGTTACTCTGCTGTTCAGTCTTTTCTAGTGGATTCAAACTTTTCCGTTTTACTAACTCCGCCTTCAAAATAAGTTGCTCTGTACTGAGAATATCGAAAAGGCATCGTTCAAAATTGTCTGCAAGTGACTTTGAAACATCGACTATTTCACCAAAATCTAGAATCTCCCTGCTTATTGAGTGCCAAGTTTGTTCAAATTTATTCTCGATTTCCTCCATATTGAGACATTCGCCTTTAATACTTTTTGCTACCTGTAGAGATCGTTCGTACATTGTAGCTTCGTGTCCTGAACTGTTTTCTATGATTTTCAGTTCGACACGCGTTCTATCTTGCAATCTTATCGTTTCAGTCCTAATTCTACCCTCTAATTCTATATGTAAAGACTCAATACGTTTTTTTGCAAAATCCTCCCACTGTAGTATTATATCTTTATATTCACTGTTATCAAAGTATTCATTTACTTCGTCTACTGCAAGAGACATACTATCAGCCATATTTTTACGCATCTGTTTAACAAGTCTATCAGCAGTATCCGACAATTGTCGTTGATAAAAACATTTAGAAAAAAATTTTGAGACAAAATATTGTTCTTTTCAAATTTTTTTTCAAATTTTTATCAAAAAATTTTTTTAATGTTTTTCCATTAAATAGCTTTTTTTCAAGCTATTTTTTAAAAATAAATACAAAATCCTCGTTAAAAAAACCTTTCCATAAATTTATATGAATGCAGCATCACCGAGAGATTTGGGGAAACCCTTATTTAAAACTTTCTGTAAAAGTGCCTTTTTGTCGAAAAAGCGTCATGTAGTTCATTTACTCTCGCCCAAAGGGGGGTTGCCTTGCCAATAATCGGTAGTTTCCACACATTTCTTCGTGTCAAATCTATGACTTGATGAAAAACTTTATTTTTGCGATACCCCTTTTTTTTCCTGCATTTTTGCGGGACAGTCCCGAGTCTCTTCAAAGCATTTAAACCTGTCCTCAAAATTTCTCGAGCAGCTGTATCAATTACGTTTTGGTGTACCAAGAAAAATATTTTTCCGATATCCAGTTGCTTATTTGCAAGTTTCAATTTAAGAAACGCGTGTACAACTACTTGTACAATGTCCCGAATTTCATTGGTATTTTCACCATTACATTTAGCAATGTTATATCACCTAATCCTGCTATCACCGTTGATAACTCGTTGTCGTGGTTATGTGTCGTAGAAGTACGTTCCGTAGATCGTAGACCTTCTGAATCTATAACTGTCACATAACTGAAAGGAAGACTGTTGTTTGGTGTAATAGGCATGATTTGCATATGTATACCTCTAGTGCATCGCCCAGATTTCACCGGAAACAAAGATCCAAACAGGGAATTCAGTAATGTTGACTTACCAGAACTTTGAACCCCAAGAACAGACAGTGTTAAACACTTTTTTGAGTGAATATTTTCCGACACTTGCTCTAAAACCGCTTGAACCCATTCCACCAAAAAATGGGAAAAAAAAAATTGTCCCGTCAATTATCTCGAAGATTTGCCCTGACTCTATTAAGGATGCCATAAATGTATAATTTTTAACTGCATGGAATTTGGTACATTGTGGATCTGCTTTCGTTACAATCACAGACTCATATATGTGTCCTAACTCTCTAAACATATGTTCTATTCCTAAGTTTGCGTTTCTATTGATTCTTGTGATTTTGGCGATCTCTTCTTTAAGTGTTTTATGTCTGTCTTTAGTAAGATTGCAGTTTGCTTTCAATGCAACCCAAGTTTTTGTCTATGTAATTATTTTGAGTACTAAATAAAGGAATTTGTTTTTTTTCCTTTCTGTGTCGATCAACAATATGACATCCATTTTACTAAATATTGTACCATCATTGGTTTGTCTTTGATATTGTCCAATGACTGAAGAAATAACTTCATGGGACTCGAAATACTCTTAAGCTGTTTTTCCCTTATTTGTTTGATTTTTGCTGTGGTAGTGTGAGTTTCTTGTACGGTTTTCAATCTATGTAAACTTCTTATACTGGAACCAAGTTGTTTTGAGTAAATGAAGTGTACCGGTGTTATGTAACTTTTCAACTGAACTTTGCTTCCAATATCAGACATAGATTGAAATACTTGGGTGGCTATTACCTTGGCTTTTGCACAATCGGTTCTGGTCTCGTCACTTGCATGAGATTGACATTCATTTACACGATCATCTAGAGATTTCACTGCGGCGATTTTGAGTCGAGTAGATATCAGTTGTCGAAGCTGTTTTGAAAAATCTTTAGAATTTATTTGAGTATGTGCTTTATATGTACTTACAATTGTAAGAGTTTTTGTAGGTGTTAGCTTCTCAGTAAACTGTTTAACAGTTGATGGTTCCGTCTGGTTAGCTATGACAATGATAACGGTTGTGAAATTGGTAATCAGTTTACAGAGTTCTTGATCTTGTTTTATAATGGACGACTCATCCAGTAAAAGAACAAGAATATCAGATATATTGGAAACCAATGAAATGACCCCTGTAGTGAAATCTTCTTCAATCCTCCCCCTCAAATTAAAAAATGCAATTGCATCTTCAAATTTTTTTTCTTTTAAACCACCAAAAGGTAGAATGAACATTTCTACGGTTCCGTTACTGCAACGCTTTGGTAACATACCAAGAGGGCAATTCATATTGAAAAATGTATCTTGAATATCGTCCGAAAGTAAATCATTCATTAATTTAGACTTTGAATAATTTGGTCTACCAAAATTTGCAAAAGTTACTGTTTTTAAAGGGAGCTCTAGAATCTCAAATTCCCTTGTTTCTGTTTCAGATGTCTGTGATATATTGTAACTTTCTACAACTAAAGAACGTAAGGGCCATATTATAAATTCCCAATCATTTAACGATTTGTCATACTCTATAAAAGGAAAAGCTATTTTACACAAATACAATTTTTGGAACAATACTTGTTTAAGCATGGGGTCGCAGCATTGTAGTGTTATTAGAAATATATCTAAAGGAGAAATTCCATCACTTTCGTCGCTTGTGTCGTCCATAGAGAAATTTTCAAAGAATTGGACAATAATTTCATGCACCTGTTCTGCTCTTTCTGTATGATCATTGACTACGCCAGAATGATCTCTTGCTTCACTCTGAACTCCTAAAATACGACGCAGTAGAATCCACGGCAATTCTTCCTTTGTATAATTATGTTTAACATCAGCTTCAACATCTATCGTCATAACTTCCGTAATTGTAATTTTTTCTGGGAATTTGTCGGTCAAACCAGTAAGTTGTAAAATCTTAGCACTGTTGACTTTTGCTATGCCTATAAAATAAAAAATATTGTATGAAAGATCTCCATCTATTTAGTAGAATACTGTTTAACTAGTTTTTCGAAATATCATCAGTAACCATGCAAAAAAGGAATGTTAATGAAAAAGAGACAATGCAATACAATACTAAATGATTGGAAATTGATAATGTGGTTGTTACGTTCTTAAGTGGTAGAGAATTATATAAACCTTAAACATAATTATCGTCTTTCGCTTGCTGATTTAAGCATGAATCGTATTTGCAAAAAAAATCTCCCTGAAATTATCATGACTGGTGTATCAGGAAAAAATCATTGTATGTACTGACACATTCGAATTGGGGTACGCGCTTTATGTAGCCACTACACCCATTTACTCGTTGTTTAACTTATGAAATAACGTTTCATAACTATACCTTTTATTTCATTGTCAGTAGGAAACCTTTTTTCAACAATTTCCGACTGTTCGCACGGCTCCGGCACCTCAACTGAATAACATAAACCACAAAAATCGAATTTTTCGAAGTAACATATTTAAGAGAGCAAATGATTATACAAGTAATAGCCAATGATTGACGAAAATAACCAGCACATCGTCGATTATGCTCTAGACGATTTGTATAAACAAACCTAAGCAATATGGCTAAATCAGTACGATATCCGACTTAATTGCATTCATAATATGGTAAAGTGCTTAAGAAAAGAAAAGAAAATCAGGTCTGCAAATTCATACCAAATAATCTACACTCTCCTGCAATGGTAATGTCATAATAAAACAAGGTTAAAAACTGCATCTTCAGGTTGAGATTTTTTCTCAGGTCCTTGAGTAAACACGCGATTCATACTAATCTACTTTAATTAAAAAATAAAAAGTATTTTGGTCTCAGTGTAACTCACCAAGTATATCATCCATGTCTACCTTCCTTCCCGTTCGTGTGTAGATAGTTTCGGTGATTGATTCTTTGGCTATCATTAAAAAGGTTAACTATATCATCTTTATTTATACAGAAGTAGACACACCAACCTTTATTCATATCATTGTTAAATCATATTGCATAAAATAAAGAAGATTTATGGCACTTGTATATTAATATATAGAGAAGGTTAAACAGGTGAATAACTTCCTTTTGTTAAATGTTTTAATAAAATGGTTTCAATGATACAGGTGTAGTGCTTTTTTATCTTGTATGTCCTTATATTGTGAAACGTCATGATACATGACATTTGCACAACCCAAAACATAATCATCCACATTAGATTAAAAGCGATATAGATTATATTATGTCTTTTTATGAATATTAATTATGTTAAGAACATGTTTACGTGCAAAAAGATCACTGATTTGAGAAAAGTGTTCTTGGAAAAATCGTTTGTACGAGAGGTGTTCCAAAAATAATACCATTTGCCTTGTTTTCCTACACTTAAAGTAATTTCATCATTTTAAATGTCTCTGGCCCTCAAAATACTACCCATCTACCTGAACACACCATTTGAGTACCTTAATCTAAATTTGAAAGCAGATTTCATACTCTTTAATTGGGACACTCATTAGGTACTGATAAACAGCAAACCCAATGGCATTTCTCGACTTGTATCTCTTTCCAGACAATTGGAATTTGAGTTTTGGAAACAAGAAATTGTGACAAGGGGCCAAGTCTGGTGAATATAGCTGATGCGGAAAGACAGTAATTTTTTTTTGATGCCAGCCACAAGCCTAGCCTTATGAGCGGGGGCATTATCGTGCTAAAGCCGGAGGTGCTCGATTCCTGTGCTTGGGCGGCGAAGTTTTTAGCAGGTCTTCAGTTTTCAGAACAATATTTTTGTAGAGCTTTGCTGTTACCGTTTTGCCTTTTGGTACCCGATTTCGCATTACCGGTCCCTTATTATCAAAGAAATCACATACAAAACTTTCTTAACAGTGCTTTGGTGCTTGGCAATACTTGGACGTTTTGCATTTTAGTGGCCAAATTCTATCTGAACATTTCCAATTTGGTTCAAAATAGTAAAATAGATAAAAACAGAATCCCTAAAGAAAGCCCAACACGGCAAAATTGAAAATGTTGCAGGCTCGGTTTGATTGAGCCTGTTCATGGACGGTACTGGAAAGTGCAAGTTACCGTCCACACCCCCTAGCACCGGCTTAAGCAGAATTTAAACCCATGCCTAATCACCAGTAACGAAGTTGTGGAAAGCCTTTTTGTTATATTTGGGATAAATTTTGAGAAGCGTTTTTGCATTTGCAACACGGGTTCCCTTTTGTTCGTCTGTTAGCAAATGGGGTCTACATCTTGCATTTATTTTCCGAAGTTGAAGATTTTTTTTAAATACCATGGACTCGTGCTTAAGACAAGTTCGTCAACCGTGCTAAATTTCTCACAGTGTATCGGGCATCTTTGTTTAGCATATTCCTGATTTTTTCTATGTTGATTTTCGTCGTTATTGTTGCAGGACGACCTAGGCGAGTAGCATCTTTGACTTGCTACTGATCGGTTTTAAATTAAGCAACCCACCTACAAATAGATCTGTGAGACATTTCACCTACCTTATAAATGTCGCACACCTCAGGGTGAATATCTACAGGCTTTATGCCAAGTAAAGTCCGACCTTTTATATAAGCCCTAATTTCAAGCACATCTTTAGCTCTTCTACCAGCCATTTCATGTACAGTATAGTGAAATGAATACGCTATAAAGCAATTTATCAAGGTCAGTGAAATTGTGAACGAGATTTTCACCTGTGTAATGCTTCTGTGATTATTCTATCGGTCCAAAGTGGTTTATAATACATAGCACACGATATTGACGAGATAATGCACAAATAACATTATTTTTGGAACACCCCTCTACTGTTGGGGACTTTATGTGTTTTAGTTAAGTGATAACTATAACGTAATAATTTAAGTTTATTTTAAATGTTATTTTAAAACATTACGCTTGCTAGTAAAATTTTCCAGAGTTCGTTTAAAAAGTATATCTTTTTTGACAGCAATTCATGGCCAAGTTTTGCATATACATATATATAGATCTATGCTGCACAATTTTAGAAGGAAGTATACCTGATGTAATTTCCATTGAAAGAGTAGACGAATCGGTATTATTGTCATGTTCCGGTGGGTTGTCTCTCCTATTTGGTACCACTATCAACGTGTTTTGCTTTAATGTATGTGTGCTTTTATTTACCACTCGTTGAGCAACTGAAAAACATAAAAAGAATTTTTAAAAAGAATTAAAAAAAAATATCATTTGTAACAATATAATTTTGCAGGTGTGTTAATTTGAAATAGTATGTGTAACCTTTAAACAGTCCATAAAAATTGGTAATGTTACTAACAGTTATAACGCCTTGCTTGGCTTAGCTATGTAAGATAAAAAAAACAATCTAGTTCATGTACGCCAGCAACATTGCAAGATTAATACGCGGAAAGAAAGTCGTTTTAATATTATCGAGTATATTGCAGCAACTTAGAACATTACTGTCTAGTCAGTGTTTACCTTTGATCGATTCAAATGTAACAAGGGCTTTTCCATCGTCATCTATTGTTATATTAGCTATAGTGTCACCGCCTGAACTTTCCTCATCTTCAAAGTATAATTCGAGAAGTTCTGCCATTTGCGAATCACCCGTCTGGAAGCCAGTAACCTCAATTGTCGGAGAAGAGCATAAAGAAAAGCTGAAACTCGGTTCTGATTCAGAGCTATCTATTTCTAGGACAGTTCCTGCTATTTCAATGGGCCTTCTTTGTAACACTGATTGAACAGCTGGAAGATCGAATTCAGCATTATTTGTACAAGATTTTTTTACGAAGGGATTTTTAAAAACGATATTAAAAAATGAATTCATTGAAAAGAACATACTTGAATGTTACTGTAAATAATTCTACCGTCGCATCTGAGCAGTTCAAGACAAGTTCTCTTGATTGTTTAAATGTAGTGCAAATAAACATAACCGTTCTACTTTCGCTATATGGTTGAAATATTTTGAAATGTTATCTAACAATTTGAGGTTAGAAATATACAGACAACCCGGTCAATAAAAATGTTATCCCCATGGATGATTTATTGATACTCATGTATATAACAAGATCAAAGTAGCTGATCGTAAAAATTTCAACTGATAAAGATAACATGCATTGTAGCCGTTTTTGTCCTACTTTCTATTTATATTGCTCCAATAAAAAATCTCAACTGATAAACATATTATGCTTTGTAACCGTTTTTGTCTATAATTTATATCTTTATTGTAACCAATAAAATCTTTACGTATACGTTGTTAAATTTTAAAATTCATGTAACCTTCTTTTTTACCGTGTTCTACCTGCCAAATTTATTTACTGGTACAATGATCAAAGTCAAAGTTCTAGCTCAATGGGTAAGCTAGTTATCTATTCAAAATGCATGGACATAGGAACTTCAAACTTTATTTGCACGAGTACTTTAATGACTACTTCCAACAATAACCCTTTTCCGGTCAAAAGGTCAAGTTCACTAAGATGTGTACGTATTAATGACATATAACTGACCATGGCGCATTACAAGAGAACTTTCACAAGCACCTTGATGAGTCCTACCCGCCATACCGATTTCATTTAATGAATGTATAACATTTTATTCAATTTATAAGTTTTCCATCCAGGACTGAGGGCTCTGCTCCTCGGACAGCTCATTAATTTTAATTTAGTTCCCAATTGGTTAATCCTAAATATGGTTGCATTACTAAGTGCGTATCTACGTTATATTCGTGGTTGTTTGCGTTTCTTTTGTTTGTTGTACAATGTGAAAGGTGTTATGCTGTTAAGATGAAATGTAAATGCGACATGCTCAAAACATGCACCGTTCAGACTTTCTGCTATTTTGTTTCTATGTAATCAGATTGTGCGCATATCTTGGGAGGGCAACGAGGCCGTTTAGCTGGTTAATATTCACCGCTGTTAGCACATGGGATTTCAAAAAGTTATTTCAGTTCATCAAAAATATATCTTAATGTATTTCCTCAATCAAGATTTATGGCTTATAATTTCATTTAAACATACATTGTATGCATACATACTATCAACATTTTCAAACTGTATAACAGCCGAATGATTTTCTTCGTCAAACTGAATGTTGCTGATTTTTCCTCCACCACATTTCCTTGAACTTTTGAAAAACAGAGTAAGGTATTGTTTATCTATTCCAGCAGGAATTCCTGCAACCTTTATCGTTCTCCTTGCTTGTTCATCGTCTGAAATACAAATTTATTATTAAATTTAAGCATATCATGCCTCAGAAATTAATAAATCTAAGCATATCATGCCTCAGAAATTATTAAATCTAAGCTTATCATGCCTCAGAAATTAATAAATCTAAGCTTATCATGCCTCAGAAATTTCAAAATTCCTTACCGTTCTCCTTCGGCCCAGGGTTAGGTTCTATGCCGGAAAGCAACAAAAGTAGTCCTATGAAAAGTACAGTACCGATAACTTTAATTCCGCCACTTAAATTCACAAGACAAACGATTGTTACAACATCGACTCCCGATGAAAATCTGAAAGTTCCTATTCTACCACGGTACGTTTCGATATCGATACCCATTGTGCTGAAAGAGGAAACGAGATGTTAAAATGTATAGCATGTAAATTCACATATTCAGGATATTGCCATATCATTCCGCAGCTATTGCATAATAAATAAATATACTGTATTAGGTTTTTAATGAAAATATGAGTTCCGTTATGGACAAAACGATTCAGTATGAAGGTGAATTATTGTGAATCTGACGACCCCGTTCGATTCGAGGACGGTGCAGGTCACTTCCGTTTTGATTGATCATGAAATCCTTTCTACGGTCATTCGCACTGTATCTCTGATCTGGCATGTACAGAAGTTTCAGTTCCTTGTGAAAGTGGAGGCAACAAGTACTGGCAAACGATGCGGTCTGGCAAATTCATTGTGGCTTACTGCCGTGATCCGGAGTGTAAACTACTAACCTATCACTCCACCACCTCTCTGTTGTGAGTATTAATTTCATGTGTTTCGTAGTATAGCATGAGATAATTGTCTTCTCGAAACGTGCAAAGCATTTTGATTTGTGGTGTTTTATTGAAGGGGATTTTTCTGAACTTTCGATACTTTATTTCTTATCACACATATAATTTGAGTAGGCCTTTTCTTTAAATACATAAGTTTTAAAGGCTTTTTATCAGGTAAGAGATTTATAAAAGGTTGATGCAAGATGTAATTTTTACTTCATAAAATGCGTTTCCTTTCTTTAAAATATAATAATACATGTATAAGTAACGCACATTTTTTGTATAAATATGTTGCGCTACATTTAAAATGGTTTTACCATCTACCAGCAAAGAATGAGGCCCGACGACATTTAATATCTACCCATATATGTTTTGGAACGTTAAATATTTTTCCGACCGAGGTATATGGTATCTTCATTGCAATATCAGAGCAAGTAGATGTATAAAGCTGACATGTCATCAGTTGTATTTGTATTAAATCTAGAAATGTATTCATATTGTGACTTTTAAAACTCAAAACATGTTCATATCCTGAATAAACTTCTTGTTTGGTATTGCATAAATGAATTAAGCATTTTATTTGGAACGTTTAAGTTAAGAAAAAACTATTATTTCGGTTCCGATATAAGTGATCAATTCTTTAAAGATACACCGGTTTCTTTATGCATTATATTTGTTCCTTTATAAATTTCTCGTTTTCGGTATAACTAAATTGATTTCTTTCTAAATAAACTGTTTTTATTATGAAAATATTGATCATACTTTCTTATAACATTGTGTTTATTCAAATTGATATTTAATAGGTTGGTATTCACAGTATGAAACTTTACAAAACGAAAAGCATGGATACAATTGGAACACTAGGGAATTTTTTACGTATTGACTACGTCACTTCAGATGTAAACACAAACAACAATGAACAAGGATACAATCTTTTGTATGTATCTGTATGACATCTAACAGAAAACGAAGTCAAATTCGATAAAATAGTGATCGAAAAATATGTTTGACAGAATATATTAAAGAATGTCTCTTGTCAATCAATTATAACCAAATTCGAAATATCGTCAACTGTTCGTACTTTAGTTTTCTAAAAACACATAATGTTCTTGATGCTTGTATATATCTATAAACTTTAAGGTAGACGATAACATAAATGAAACAAAATCAGTTAAAAAAGGTCTGTTCAAGGTTCAAAATTGCAAATTAGTCCTAATTATTATAAATCCTAAGCGTAAATCAGGGCAAATAACGGACCTCCGAAAATTAATTAGTCTCAAGCAAAACTGTTATTTTGAACATTGATTTTGTACCAAAATAGTACCGTCAATTACACTACACTACCTTAAATTTATTCAAATCAGTTTGCATTTTATTCAAGGTCCAATAATAAACTGACATCTGATCGGTTAATACTTTACAGCAGGTGATGATTATTCGATATGAATAAGATATAACGTTTCAGTTTAAGTCAAAGATAATCCATTTAAAGATATTTATAATTTAGCCGATAGTTAAAGTTTAATACTGAATTTAATATTGAACCAGTTCGGTTTTAAGTTTATGCTATTACTTTTATTAAGATTTTATCACTTAGCTCTTTTACCTACCCTTTTATAAAGAATAAAATAAATTTTCAAAAGTAAAAAATACTAATTTAAAAGATAAAAATTTAAAATTATTTAAAAAGATATTTAAAAATTATCTTAAAATTATTTTTAAATTGATTAAAAATATATTTTTTTGTATGAAGGATTAAATAATTTTGGTGTGGCACACAAGAAAAAACAAACCCAAAATCGAAAATAATATATAAATAACACATGCGTAGCCTCGGGTAACAGTATTTTCCTCAGGATGATATTTTTACTGTTACCCACAAACCTATGTGTTATTTATTTTATTACCCCGAACAAATACTGTGATGATCTGAATTTGTAAACTAAATCTAACTGTAACAAAAATAAACCAAGAGTAGCAATAACTAAACTGTCCTTACCTTGCAAGTTTTAAGTTTACTGTAGGCCTACTTGAGAAGCTGTTTTTTTTTTTGTTTTGTTTTTTAATTCTTTACGCAAGTGATGATATCTACCAGTCATAAACATACAATCAGCTGTGTTTTATTTAGAAAACAAAACATTTAACCCATTTATAAGGTTATAATCTGTGAAATCTGATCCTTCTGTATCCAGAATATTCTTCGCATGGTTTTTGACAAAGGACATTTATAAAATAACGATGAAATCCTACAGATGTCTGTCCACCAACTCTATCGGTAACGTTTCACTGGTTAAAATTGTTAATACTTGCTTTAATCGTCTGCATGTTCCAGTTTGACACAAAATTATTCACATTACAATTACTTCCGTTGAAAACGGATGTTTACTTTTTGACTATTCAACAAAAAGATAATATTATACGCGAAAAGAACTCTAGGGTGCAAAGAACTAAATTTTATGAGAGTCATAGTTACTTTGGTGATGCCCTAGGCCCTATCGTCGAAAATAAGAATGAGTCGAGAGAAAAATGGCGGCCATTTTATTTCATTTTATTTAGAAAATAGACCACGTGACCAGATTTGATACTGTTAAAAAAATACTTTTACCTATGTAACAGTACAAAATTCTTAGTCACGTGGTACACTTGCATTAACAGTAAGAATAACTCCCAGAGGCCTATGGGAAATTAACATTACGAAAAAAGTGAGGGGTAATAATACATACTGTACCGCTAAAGCCCGTGGTGACTAGAAGCATTATTCTATAATATCAATAAGTGAATGTCAAGATAAACAAGTCCATAGCAACTTAAACGTGCGTAATACTAGTAACTAAAACCCAGTTAGCATTTAGTGCCAGAAAACCAACCGTTGAATCGTAATTATTAAATATATCTTTGATGTGTATATGAAATGTAGTACAATTCAGAAATGAATAATGCAAAAAGTTTCAACGACATTAGGTTACAAATAATTGTCCAAATATCTGGTGTCTGGTCTGTTTCCGAAAATAACTTTCGACAAAATTACGGGCATGCATTTTCAAAAGATACACATATATGTTATTTTAACTTTACGAGGCCGATCATCGGCTATCGCGCTAAATGTTTATTTACTTACATAAAACTGAAAAATTGAAAAAATATCAAATTTAAGAGAATTAAAACGTACCTGTTTGTTACGATCTCAAAACGCCGATTGATTTTTACACCGTCTTGAACGTCGATTGAGGTGATATCGATTTTAACAGAACAAGGAAGTCCTTCATTATTGCAGGTTACCTTTAAACAATAAATTATTAACAATGATCAATATGACAACCACGTGCCGTTGTTGCATTTTTTTTTCTTTTTCTTGGTTTTTATGCATGACACAGGGTACAGTGTAAAAAAACATCTTACCATAATACTGCCATTACGGCCCACGGTAGTTTTGTTATCAATACTTGCGAATGACATTGCACTCGTGCACTATTACGTCACAATCAATGGCCTCTTAATACGAAATACAGATATCGAAACGCGGAATTGCGGATTTAAACAAATTCTTTAATGCCAGAATAACACTTATGTACCTTTCTTTCGTGCATTAATATCTACATATGTCCCCGGAGTTATTACATCCCTCGCCCTATTTGCTTCGTTTATAAATGCACCCTCATGCTTCTGTAGATGCTCATGTACAACAAAAAGTTGCAATAACCCTCTATAATTGCAGAAATGGAAGATTTGCTGAAGCATTGCATTGTCGATGGGATTTTTTATTGTTTTATATTAATTTGCTGAGGACAATTATTCGTATACGTGGGCGGTTAAGTTGTCATGAGCCTTTGCGCATGCACAATTTGTGGTTTGTTTTTATCACGTTGCTTTAAATGTAATCCTGGGCCATTTCAACAAACGTAAAGTAAAATGAGATGAAATTATTTAATGAAATCATTTGCTGAAGATGAATGCTCCCCTGTGTTTATAGGAATAAACCAAACAATTTCTGATATAGGATCATCATCATTATCAACACCACCACAACCATCAACAATATTATCAGCAGCAGCAGAGTAATCGTCGTCATTATCAACATCATCATCATCATTCACAAGATCTGAATCAATGATTTCTGATTTTAACTCTTTCGCATTGATACATTGTGTATCATTTACGACTGTATTAATCTTCTAACTTGCACCTTTGCGCCTTTGAAACATGATAAGCATTTGAGACATTGTCATTATTAATCTTAGCACGCACTTGCCTAAGCAGATGTTTGCTTTCAACTCTTGTAACATGGATTTATGATGCGGAATGTGACGAATAGACCATTAAACAATTTAAAGTGATGGTGCATTTATTATCAGAATCATTGTATCAGAGTTCTTATTTAGAGTATAAATATCACACTTATTGAGGTTCCCTTTACTTTACTTTTGGCATATTGTTTTGTGTATTGTATAGAAATGCAAATGTATATATGATATTATAACGCGGTATTATGCATGTCACACAATATCTTTACATTAAATATTTCTTTGTACCTCATGGCTTATTTGCATATGATTAATAACATATCTTTACAAAATGCACATAGAGGGCAAGTTATGTCGTGCATTTTAATTAAGGCGTAAGTCACGTTTCGGAAGAATATAAAGGACATATAATTGAAAATTTTGTATGCGAAACATGAACAACCATCTGACACATATTCCATATGTATTACTTAGTTCACGTGTTATGCTATATTTATATGTGTACAATATATCATAACTTTCCTACTTTATTTTGACGCTCATGCCTACTAAATTATGATGATCGAAAAGAAAAGGGAAAGCTGACTGTGGAGATAATATAACACGGTTGCATTTTTTAAAGCTGGAAAATTAGGACCATACTACATATGACTGGCCATTTAGGACCCAGTACGTATAACTGGTAATTTAAAACTCAAGTATGGATAACTTGGAACGTGGATCTCAGTATGCATAACTAGTAATTAGGACCTCACTATGAATAAAAGGTAATTTCGGACCCCAGTATGAATGATTCATAATTTTAGGACCCCAGTATTTGTTACTGTAAATTTAGGACCCAAGTTTGTATAACTAGTACCTTAGGACCTCAGTATGCATAACTAGTAATAGGAAACACTGTGTATATAATTTGTAATGATAGACCGCTGTATGTATTACTGGTAATTCAGGACCCAAGAATGTTTAACTGATAATTTAGGTCCTCAGTATGTATAAGTAATTCAGAACCCCAGTACGTATGTTTTACAGATTATTTAATATTCAACAAGTGAAAATTAAGGAAAACAGTATGCATTACTTGAAATTATGACTTGTAATTTAGGACTAAACTATGTTTTACTGATAATTAAGAACCCTATTATGTATAACTGATAATTTAGGAACAAAATTTGAATAATTGGCGATTTAGGACCGGAATATGTTTAACTGGTGTTTAGAACCTCAACTTTTCTTTTCATCCTTCCGCGTTAACAAGCTTCGGTACATAAGCAACTTTAAAAAGTAAAATTATCGTGTAGTCAATACATGTTTGCAAACTTTGAAATAAAAATTCCAATATTTCACCAAAGTAAGTACACAGAATTTCCAAATAACCAAATGCACACTTTCTTTTGCCATGGAGTATGCAACTCTTTTATAAAGTCAAAAAATATGTATATAATGTATTATCCTCCTGCATTATTGGATAAAAAATACTAATACATTTTTGGACACTTACTGCATTCCTCACGTTATTAAATCTACAACTTTATGATTACAATCTTTGTTTTATAGCAATCATGTTAATGAGTACAAGTAATAATGTTTCCAGATGAAGTATATCGAGATTTTGCTCCTTCTATTATGTTTTATAGTGATAATTAAATTTTGATTTGCTTCTAGATTAAGAGCGTTTGCCCTTTGTTTAGAATTGTTTTGCTTTTATATACGCTAATTAGCGTGTTTTCGTTCCGTGCCCCCACCATTTTATCTTGTTAATTCTGGAATTTTCGTTTGGCGGGGTCGCGGGGCGAAAAAATATAAATTATTAAAAAATATAAAAAAATATATAAAAAATACTGATGCCATTTCTATTTATTGTACTTTGCAATCAGTCATTCACAAACTTGCTTATACGGCCTTGCAAATCATTTCATGTCATTATTTGATCAATAGAGTTCAAAAAGAAGTTAAGATATAGGACACAATTTAACAAATGATATATAGATTTTCCGAAACAATACTCATAAAATACAGGGAATAGATAATGAAAAAAACCGCTAGTCTCATTATTAGAGCGATGCATGAGTATTTAATTTATTGGGTAAATATATTAAGAATTGTTGGTTTCAATTAGATTTACAATCAATTATGGCAATTATTTACAAACGTCTTTATATTAAGCTTTAATAGGGTTTATTGGACAATTTAAAGTCTTCAAAGGAACTCTTCCGAGTAAATAAAAAAGAAGAGGAAAAAAAGTTAACTTTGATAATACGAGTAACTGTCAAATCACGTCACAATACAATGACGACAATATAGAAAATAAAAGAAAATGAATAGTATTTCCTTATTCAATTCTATAACAATTAATCTGATAATATATTAATTGAGTGATGATTCCTTGTACGTGACATGTTTTAGTGCCTTATATCGTTTAAATATCAAAAAGCAATATCACAACACACGCGACAAGGTCATCATAAGGCACGAAGCTAATAAAATAATACCACAATTGTCACTTAGAATACGTTCCAAGACTCGCTGTCCATCTTTCTTTGCCTAACATATTAAAAGCGTTACCTACCCTATACCATTTGAACCATACATCGTTTTTGGACACGGGAAATTTATTAACAATAAGATTTGATTGAATTCTATTAAATGCAATTAAATGAACGCTTCAACAATGAAAAATACAATTTTACCTTATGAATAAAAACTTATATTCTTTGAATAGATGAGAAGGAACATAGAATATCTATCAAAATAATGTTTTCTGTATTCTTTGCTATTTTATACGTATGCATGGTTAATTATTAAACATCTCGGGGCATTTGAATGCTTAGTGAATTCAATTCATGCAAGAGTACTTACCAACAAAACATTCGAGCTAAATTGTGATCAGTTAATGATATGGGTAGCAAAATTAATCAACTTTACAACTTTACTGCATATTTCAAATACAAGTTACATGTCTAGCTATTTAATGGAGGACACATCATGTCTCAGAAATGAATAAATTTGATTTTTCTTTAAAAAAATAATGAGTTTTACAACATTTAAATAATTGTTTTGAGAGTATATTTGATGCTTGTTAATGCAGCACAGGTAATGACTATTTTAACATAATAAAAATGTAAACAAAATAGGAAAAAAGAGTAATATATTTATTTTCTCAAAAAAAGTCATTTGATATATATCATATAGGGGTGGTCGCTATACGTTTCCGTAGTGATGATATCTTGATTTGTTTGTTATAATGTCTGTTATAATGCACACCTAGGCAACATTTACAAATTTTAGTTTCTTAAGATTTATGTGTTTTGTGGCAGTTTTTACAATGGTTTTGTATCTTTTACTACATACAATTGCTAAATTAAATATGATATGAAACTCTTCCTTTCTGAGACAATTTTGAGCTAACTGACTGACCTTGTTGGTATTAATTTATACAAGTGTTGTTTAACGCTGGATTTTGTTATGCCATTGAAAAGTTAAGTGATCAAAACTTTGTATCAAATATTTAAAAATGTAGTATTGTCAATAGGTCTCTGTGTTAGTTAAACAGGACAGAACTTTGTTAGTTAAAAAAGTGAAAAGTTATGCTTAACTTGTTATCCAAAAGGAAGTCTTAGAGTGAAATATTTCTTTTCTTATTAACTATATGTTAGTATTTTATTATATTTTAAGTATTGAAAAGTATCTCAATAAATCCGTTTAGATTGGTTTCTGCAAGTAAATGGTATGTAATTTATCAAATATGTAAATTTTAATGTGATATGTAAAAATGAACATCTTTTTATGGCGACTTTTTACCTTTACTGGTGAACGAAGAACTCATGTACCCTTCATCATATTTTAGGCATTCGCGGACTACAATGGAATATAGAAGTGTGTTGTCTTTGAAGATGCAGCATAGACGTTCATATTTAGAATTTAGAACTCCAGATTTCAACAAAAAACGTAATATTATTGAAACAATTAGTCCATCTGATGGACCTCAAGGTGACCATGCCAATTCACCGTACCCCACCCGCAGAAAAGAATATACATCTCCTGAGGTACCATCCCATGTTAACTCTGAACATCAAGACAAAGATATTAATCTTGCAGAACTAGTTAAATCTGCTATTTGTAGCACAGATGTTATGGAAGCAATTTCAGATGCATTGGTACCAACACTTACTGTTGTTTTTGAGTCGATGCTTCGACCCATAAATGAAAAAGTTGATGCCCAAAACAAACATATTTCAGAGATGACAACTCAATTAAATGATCAAAATCAGCTTGTTTCAAAAGTCCAAAACGAAAATCAAAAGCTTGCAATAGATCTACAAAATGCAGAAGAGCGAATCGAATCTCTTGAACGAAGCCTTGACGACATAGAACAGTACGGGAGAAGAACATCACTTCGTTTCCATCGTGTCAATATTAACTCACCCGAAATGTATGAGACGACAGAGGCTAATATTGATAAAACAAATGGTGTAAATAACAAAAAGCAACCAGAGAATCTTAAAATTAATACTGATGAGATAGTTGTGAATATTTGCAACAACATAATGAAAGTTGACCCGCCTTTAAGTGTAAACGATATTGAACGCTCCCACACAATTGGTCCTGTGAAAGATGGTTATTCACAAATTCTTTGCAAATTCAAAGCATGGAAAACTAAACATCATGTGTACATGAACAAATCAAACATTAAAAAACATAATGGAACCAAAGTCAATGTTTTCATTACAGAGGATCTAACAAGAAAGAGGCAGTTCCTCGTTCAGCAGCTTGAATTTGCCAGAAAATCCAGCAAAATCGATAGTTTTTGGACCAGCGACGGTCGTATTCTTTATAAATCTACTCCTACAAGCAAGGTTAAATCCATAAGAGACGTGAATGACATCGATCACTTATTACCTGACAATTAATGATCTCTGACAATAGGATGATCAGTGATTATGAACTATATTTCGCTTTTCAACAAATACATCTAGAAATTATGTATATATTTATGTATGTATATTGTGTCTAATTTTTCAAAATGCACACATATTGAAATCAATATATCATTCAGTGATTATATACACTTTGACCTTGACCTTTATGTTTACATATTATATATATTTATATATATACATGTATAATTTTTTGAAAGTCTTACCTGTTGAATTACATTCCTCTGTAAATCCAGTATTCTATTTAAAGAATTCTTCGTTCTTATTAAATCACTATAGTTTTTTGACAACAGTAAAATCCCTTTTGTAAATTCCTATGTAATATTTTTTCACAAGCATCTTTATAACACATGTAACCTCATAACAATTAATTTTAATCCATACACGAAATGCTGGAGTGTAAATGTTTTCTTTCTTTAAAGGAAGATACTCATTGTAATCTCGAATCGAAGCATAACTTGTTGCATTTTCCAAAAAAAAATATATAAATCTGATCAATATTTTTGAAAGATCAATTTTGTTAATTATATTTAAACAAAGTTAATCGTTCTAATGTCGCGGATAAGTTTGAAAATGGCGCTAATCCAGTATATTGTCACATTTTTTACACATTTCGGTTGATGCAATGCATTTTCCTATTGTATTCAATCTTTATTTGTTTTTTTTTTTTTGTTTTTTTTTTTTTTTTTGCAACAACAATTAAATGTATTTTTTCATCCATAACTTCATGTACAAAAATAATAAATGTATACATTTTGTAGTTATACTTTGTAAATATGTCAAGTTTACTTTTTTGTACCATAGGTTATTGAATAAATTTAGGTCGCGTACCTTTAGAAATGTTTAGGGCACGTTTTTTCCGTTTTCCCCCGTTTTTATGTATCTCTTCTGCAAATTTAATCAATTGTCATATAACAGTAAGTTTGTGTTTTTACATGATAGTAAAGCATGATTTATCTCAGTTAATACGAGTCGCTTTTCTTACCCGTTATGTTACAGATATCGCTATGATAATTTTCATAACCACACTTTTTACTTGTTACTTTTTAAAATCTATTCTTATTATGCGATTCATATTTCTACAGGTTGCCATATTTTCCGATCCATGTATGTTAACTGTCGTTAATGTTTATATAATATTTCAGTCGCCACTCGTCAAATTTATTGTTGTATGTATGTGTTACCCAAATAGGTAATAGTTTAAATGAATGGCGGGTGGCGATAGGATTGTTTTATAACGGTTTGCAGGGCTATATGAAAATGTGTAAATTATATATGTATTCACCAAGAAAACTAGTTTTAGGCAATTTTAAGCAAATAGCTTTACTATACGTTTATATGATTGTATTTACCTGTTTGTACAGATCAGTATGTGATGAGAAATCATTCAGTTTTGGAAACTTTCAGGGTTGTGATTCCAATTTTGACTTAAACTGTCTAATTTTTATAATGGGCACTATCATGTTACAATTACTGATAATTAGTGGAGACGTTGAAAGTAATCCCGGTCCTAACAGTGAATCGCAACTTAATTGTTTATCAATATACAGTCAAAATATTAGAGGCTTGCGTAACAAAATTTCACACATACTTTGTTTTACGGAAACTCATCTTGATAGTTCAGTATCCGATAATAGTTTAAAAATAGACAATTATTCTTTTTATAGAAAAGATGTCTCGTGTCATTCTGGGGGAATTCTGATATATGTGTCCGATGAAGTAATCTCTAAGCATAAATATGAACTTGAATTTTATCTAAATGATTGTCTTTGGGTCGAACTTAGACACAAAAATGAAAATATCTTACTTTGTACTGTTTATAGGCAGCCGAGTGGTCCTACTTCTTTTTGGTTAGAACTAAGTAATAGCGTTGAAAAAGCTTTTGAAATCAGTGAAAGAATAATTATTGTAGGTGACATTAATGAAGACCAGCTTAATAGAAATAATCACAAATTTAGAGACATTCTTCTGATTAATGACCTGAAAAATGAAATTAATGAACCAACTCGTGTTACAGTAAACTCTTCAACTCTTCTAGATCCGATCGCAGTTTCCTCTTCTATAAGCATATATAATTCGGGTATTTCATGTACACCAAACAACATAAGTGACCACTACGGGACTTACATTTTTATCAAATTCGAAAAAGAGACTTTTAAATCATACAAACGTCGAGTTTGGAATTACAAAAGAGCGGATTTCGACAAACTTAATAACCTAATTCTTAATCATGATTTGGTTTTTCTTTTGTCACGTTCTGTAGATGATGCTTGCGAAAATTTTACATCAGGACTTACTGAATTAGTAAAACAATGCATACCAACTAATTATGTAACTATTCGTCAATATGATCGACCTTGGTACGACTCGCTATTAGAACTAAATCTGTTAATGACTGGAGCCGATTCAAGCATTTACGCAATAAAGTTAATAATTTAAAAAAACACGCTAAAGAATTATTTTATAGTAACCTTGAATTTTCATTAGAGGAAGCCAAATCAGATAACCCGAAATTTTATTGGAAAACCGTTAAAATGTTAATTAAAAATAATAACGATCAATGTCATTGTAATAACATTCCAGTTTTATTTTCTGAAGTTAATGACGCTGAAATATGCTATTGCTCTAATAAGGAAAAAGCTGACTGTTTAAATGAATATTTTTATCTCAGTTCCTACCGTTGATGCATCAAATACCCAATTACCGCCTTTCTTTCCTAGAACGGAGAGCATATTACCCACTTTCACTATCCAATCACAAGAGGTAAAAGATATTCTTGCAAATTTAATTTTAAATAAAGCAACAGGGCCGGACAAAATTAGCCATCGAATTTTAAAAGAAACGCAAAACAGTATTTGTTATCCTCTTAGTGTACTTTTTAATAGAACACTCAATGAAGGCTCATATCCCAGTTCCTGGAAACTTGCAAATGTTATGCCCCTTTTTAAAAAGGGTGACCCCCATATTCCCTCCAATTATAGACCTATATCACTAATAAGCTGCAGTGGGAAAGTCATGGAAAGAATTGTATTTAGGAAATATATATAACCATTTGCATTGTAATAAATTGATATATCCGTTACAATCAGGGTTTCTTCCGGGCCATTCGACAGTTTATCAACTAATCGACATGTATCATCAAATTTGCGAATCATTTGACAAAAAGCAATCTACTTGCATTGTATTTTGTGATATATCAAAAGCGTTCGATAGGGTGTGGCATTCGGGTTTACTTTTCAAACTGAAACAATATGGTATAAATAATGAACTTCTTACATGGATTGAAAATTATTTATCTAATCGTAAACAATCTGTTTTTGTTGGTCCTGAATGTTCGGAAGTGCTAAATATACCAGCGGGTGTCCCACAGGGCTCGGCCCTTGGTCCCCTTTTATTTCTTATATATGTGAACGATATTGCTGAAAATCTACTAAGCGTAACAAGACTTTTTGCTGACGATAGCTCTTTATCCGTTTCCTCTAACGATCTAAATTACATTGAAAGTACTCTTAACTCCGACCTTGAAAAAATAAATAAATGGTCTAAACAATGGTTGATTAATTTTAACCCAAATAAAACAGAAGTTATGTTCTTCTCTCAAAATCATAGAATCAAACTCTCTCTAGATTTCGTGGATAATCACAAACATTTAGGATTAACTCTTTTTTGCGACTTGAAATGGCACGATCATATTAATAATATTTCAGCTTCTGCGTCAAAAGTATTAGGCTCTATGCGTGCTTTAAAATTCCAACTTAAAAGATCTACTTTAAACCAGATTTATATATCTTATATGCGTCCGATACTTGAGTATGCCTCAATTGTTTGGGATGGATGTGCTGCATATGAAAAACAATCACTTGAGCAATTACAATACGAAGCCGCTAGA